AAATAATTTCCACCATATTATCAGATACTTCAATCGGTGATTGAATTATAAAAATACTCTAAAAAGAATAACAGAATAATTAGCTGCTGATGTAAATGTCACTAAGAAAGCCATTTGATTCCTAATAAAATATTCAAATATACCACAACAAAAATACAATGACTCGGCTTTGCATTTTGTTGACGGTAATTTTGTTCAGCGTGTATCAAACAGAACAGGCATATTTTTTGGAGAAAGATTACATCGATCGGATCAATACACAAGCAACGACTTGGATGGTAATATAACGTTTAATAATTACTATAAATACATTCGTAATATGAAAAATTATAAATCAAAGTACATACTGTTCATTCCAGTAATTTATTGCTATGCAAATTATATTAAATATGTATAGGTATTTTATTTATATTTCAACCACTATAATAAACATTTGAAATATTTACACTTGTTAATAATTATTATTAAACGTAATTTGAGAATCCAGACATTTTATTTTTTAAAAACCAGAAACCTTATTTTTAAGAAAAAATATTTTGTCAAGCGGCTGAATTTTTGAAAATTTCGTTTTACATCAAAGAAAGAGTAATATAATATTATTATTATAGATTATTAATTTCATTTTTAGGATACAAAAAAATTAGTAACAAATTAAGTCTATTAAAAATATTGACTTAGAATAATATACAGAAAATATATTCATATTATATATACAAGGACATATATATTAAATTGTTGGGAAAAATATATTTTAATATACAGAAAAAGTTTTACATTTAATTTTTTTAATGAAGTTAAGCTTATAATACATATTATTATAATTTAACTCATAGAAATAATATACTAGAGCTTTATTGTTTTCAAAAAAATCATTGAGTATCCTTTAAGAGAGTAATTAATTAATTTTGATATTCACGAGTGGTAAAGGAATAACATCTTATAGACACGGTCAACGTTCTACTTGACATGCAATTATACGTATAAAGCAGGGGACTTCAACCTTTTCATGCAGTGGGCCACGTATTATTTTTTTAAACCTTGCGGGCCGCATTCATAATAAAAATATGTATTTTATATAAAAATGCAGTTTTATTCTTACAATTTTTAAAATTAGGTGGGTACATTTAAAATTATTATTATTATTAAAACATGAATAGCTAAACATTTTTTTTATTTACAAATTTTTTATTTTATATTTAATGTGAAAACATTTAAAATGTGATCGTGGATTGCATACTATGACAGGACGGACCGAATGTTGAAGACCCCTGGTATTAAGTATAATATACATATTTTATAGATAATTGTACAAAAATTCGTTTATTTGCTGAATAATAGAATTATAATATTAATATTGATAAATGTCCTTTCATTATAGGCGGGCCAAAATTTTGATCCTAATACAACGGAAGAGACAATTAAAAGACTCTTGGGATCCATAGGGGTAGAGATAGCCAAAACAATAAAATCCAGCGAATTTAAAACAAACGACGTGGCGTACGATAACTTATTTTATAGAATACCATCTGAGTTCGATGCTAGGAGAAACTGGCAACAATGTGATACAATTGGAAAGGTTCGCGATCAAGGAAATTGCGGATCATGCTGGGTACGTTTGTTTGCACGACGATGACATTGTATTGGCGCTATAAGTTGACTTTACCATATTGTTCTAGGCATTAGGTCCAAGTGCAGCATTTGCTGACCGTTTGTGTATAGCCACGGATGGAAATTTTAATGAATTATTGTCATTAGAGGAAATAACGTTTTGTTGCCATGATTGCGGGTTAGGATGTAAGGGAGGGGCACCGATAAAAGCTTGGGAATATTTTATAAAATATGGTTTAGTTACCGGAGGAGATTACCAATCGGGTGAGGTAAGTACATTAGTATAATATACCATTGTACTCTAGGTATAATTATATATTTCATACTAATAAAGTATTATATTAAAATTATTTTTTCTTGCATAAGATATGATCCGTAGGTAGGTATACACTATTTATTTATTTTTTGATTTTTGCAATGTTGTTCCAACGATTAATAGTATGCATCTGCAAACGTGTTACATATATATTAGTTTTTAGTTGATTAATTAGATATATCTATAAACTATAAGAACTACATAATTTATGTTATATAATGTTTTGTTTAGAGCCTTAGTAGATATTTGTTGTACAATGCAAATTATTTGAATAATAAATATATTGTGAATACTTAACGTATTTTCAGGGATGTCAGCCATACGGAGTTGCACCTTGCCCTATTGATGAGTACGGTAACAATGTATTTAACAGTCAACCAATGGAAAGAAATCATAATTGTACAAAAACTTGTTATGGAAATCAAAATCTCAATTTTCAAGAAGATCACAAATTCAGTAAGGGATTATCTACATAATAATAATATATTATAGGGTTTATAATGAAAATATGTGGATATTTTATTTATGAAAGTATTTATAGTTGTTTTATGAACATTTGAAACATTTTTACTAACCTAACCTTTTTTTACGTGTATCATTATATTAGACATTTTTTTTCTATTGATACATACATATAATAGTATAACAAAAGTTATAAATCTATATTTGAATCTTATTTTTTCTCATACAATAAAGTCAATATTTTTCATGCATTTCATTTCACATAATTATAATAGGCTTTCGAATATATATTTGAAAAAGACAGCATTGTAATTTTCGCAAAATTGAAGAAAAAAAAAATTATCTACTAATATATAAAAATATATAAATATTTAATGTTTAAATATTCAGATTTAGAGGAAAAAAAGTTGAATACATTGAGTATGAATTTTTGGGTTCTGAACTAACGACATGATTACATCATATGATTTAATATTTTCACATTTAATTATCTCTAATGAATTATAATAATTATAGTTAGAGATGCTTATTATCTAACTTATGGAGCCATTCAAAAGGATGTTTTTGCCTACGGTCCCATTGAAGCGTCATTTGAAGTATATGACGATTTTCTTAGCTATAAAACAGGTATCGTAAATCGAGGAGTAAATTATGTGATTTTGTGTTTGTAGTTATTAACCAAGAGTAATTACTGATCTAACCAAGCAATATTGTTTAACATAAGTTTTTTCATGAATTCTTAGGTGTATACATCAAATCGGAATTTGCATCATATCTAGGAGGTCATTCCGTGAAATTGATTGGCTGGGGAGAGGAAGACGGAGTCCCCTATTGGTTATTGATCAACTCATGGGGCATAGCCTGGGGTGACAACGGGCTTTTTAAAATTCGTCGAGGTACAAACGAGTGTAAAATCGAAGATTCAACAACAGGAGGGGTTCCAGTGGTTTAATAATTCAATTGATTAAAATAAATATATTTTTTAAAATTTTAAACTGATTAACAACAGTTAAAAATTTCAACTTAATAATATATGTTAATGGAAAAAGTTTGTTATTAAAAAAATGCTTTTACAAATCCCATTTTAATGGTTAATATTTAATATTATTTGCAACATTAAGAAAAAATATATTTATGAATTATCATGGATATTATGTGTGCTATTTTTTCTTTGAATTATTCGTATTGTAACAATCGTGATCAAAAATAATCATACCTACATATAAGTTTTTATTTTTTTTTTCAATTGAAATAAAATAAATTAATGTAAGAGTATCTCAATTACAAAAATTCGATAATAGATTAGACTTGAATATGAATTCCTGTATGCATCTATTATATTCAATTTGATGCCGAATCTCATCTCTTTAGTCAAATAATATTTCTTGAGCACTACTATTCAGGTTTTTTGTAGGGGGAATGGGGGAATGATGGTCAAGGGGTAATGGTGGTTACCTTGATTATCATGAAACTATGGTAACTAAAAATCAGTTGACTACGTGTAATGATTAATTTTGTTATCAAAACCTTAAAATTAAAATATGGTAGTGATCAGTTAAGTTTTACCACCAATAAATTGTTATCAAAGTTTTTTCCACATTATCGTGTTAAAAATCGTGTTCGGAAAACGCTTTTCAAGGTAAGTCTATTTTATTATGTTTTCTTTAGGTCGTAACTTAAATATCATGTAATTTGTGAGGATTACGAATCTGTAATTGCAAATTTAATTAAACTAATCACCAATAAAAAAAAATATTATTTTGTTAAAAATTGCAGAATGGGGTATTCATAGTCAGTGCTTATGGGGTGATGAGAGTCATTTACAAAATGACTACTATTACTTAAGACACAGATGCAAGATTAACAAACTAAATTTTGAATCTTAAATTTTATTTTTATATTATAAAATAATTTAATAAATTTGATTGTAATTTAATTAATTTTTATTTCAGATGCCTAAATCCTACCAAAGAAAAACAACTATTAGAGGATGATCTGAAAAGTCACTGAAAGCTGCAGTGGATTTAGTTTTGAAAGAAAAACTTAGCATGTGCAAAGCAGCAGACTTGTTTGATATTCCATTTAGTACATTACAAAAAAAGATAAAAACTAAGAATTTTGGACCACCAAGTTTGGGATGTACCCCTATTTTTACACAAGAACAAGAATATTATATGGCTGAACATATTAAAAGTTTAGCAAAACTGTTTTATGGTTTAAGTGATTGTTATAAAGTTATTCCAGGTTTACAAAGTTATGTTACCTACCCATTATTTAAGTCTAAGAATTAAAATTAAATAATTTAAAAATATTTTGTTACATATGTAGTTAACTATTTTTAAATATTAAGTTACTGTTACAAAGTTATCCCAAGTTTATAAAGTTATGTTACCCATGTTATTATTAATAAAGGCAAATATTAATAAAAGTATTTTTATGAAATTATGATTAGAATAAAAAAATTATGATTTTCCCTATTAATTTGCAAGGGTTTTTGAGTGATTATCATTACCCCTACATAGGGGGAATGGTGGTCATTTCCACTTTTTTAAAAAGAATTAAAAAAATATATTTACATTTGTTTTAAAAATCTGAAATGTAAGTATGTTATACCTAACAAGTTAATACTTATTTTATTTATATTTAATAGTGTTTTGGACTAACCGTTTGCCGGAAATCGATATTCTTGCTTAGGTGACTGCCTTTCCCCCATTCTCCCCTATGCCTTTTTGCTCATTTGAGCTATATTATATCCTATGTAAACCCTCCAACAGCTATTAACATATTATAGGTATTTTAAATAAAATGTTGATTACTTGTTTATATATATTTATATGTTGCTTACAATTTTTGTTCAATACTCCATATTGAAAATTAAAGAAATACTTCAAAACGTTAAATCAAAAATGATTTGTTTTAGGTTTAGACTGAAAAAAAAGCAAATCATTTAAAATAATATTTATATTTACTATAATATAGTTTAATAATTAACAATGATGTATTTTCCAGAAATATTTTCAATTGCTTTTAAAGTTTACAAAAATTAAATTTATATTATTATTGATAAAATAATGCTGAAGTCATAGTCTTGAACTTAGCGTTCACCACAAAAAAGTAGTACAGTTTTTCTCAACGTTTGTATAGCAACAGTGTTTATTAGACACAATATTAAAATATTTTCTATTTTATAACATATCGTAAAAAACTAAAGTTATGATCAAGCAAAACCGTATACAATATGTAGTATTTATGTGTTAATATTTTATTTTAATTTCTTAATCAAAATTTTAATGTTTATAAGTTTTAAACACTAAAAATAAATGTTGTTTAACAACATTTATGTTGTTATATCGTCCTATATGAATTTCTATTTTGTGTAATTTATTATGCGTCATTACACACTCAGATTTATTCTGTGACACACCATTAAGTGACATTGTTGTAATTATTTGTTTCTTGTGAATATGTCTATTGCGTTATTGTTTTACTCGAGTATTACACTTTAAAATATTAAAGTAAATAAACTATTAAAATTATGTAACTTAAAATAATTCCTGTGTTAAGCAACACTTATTAATATCGTTCTATGACTAAATGGCTATCATTGGTTTGTAACTACTATTTTTTTAAATTTGTTGAATACTTTTTTTTCTCATTATGTGATTTGTGAACCATATAAATTGATTAAAAATCAAAACATACGATCAAATATTTAACAGAGACCAATAGATATATTTTATTAACACAAAGAATGAAGCAGAAAAATCCATTATTATTATACTACGAGGCTAACATTTGTCCATTATATGGTATATTAATAATATAGTTTATTATACTATGCTGAATCTATGAGCGAGCTCGTTATTTTATATCCAGATAATATCAGATCTACATCAATTACTTTTGTAGAAAATTGGTTAAATAATTATTATTTTATAGTCTACCAGTTTGATATATAATATAATAGTATAATATAAAATTGTAAACCCCTTCCTATATCGTGGGTCATTTCTATTTATGAATAGATTGTTAAATAAAAATGTTGTCCCCCCCCTTGAGAATTTTTTTATGGACGCCCTTGCCGCATTCAAAATTGTTATAATTTTGATAATTACTCTGTGTAGCTAATGCAGTTATTGTGCATTTATTTGCCATTATTTTGAAAGTGAGAAATTCTTCGAATGGTCGATGTAGGATACCGGTTCACTGCAAGTAATAGGCAGTGTTACCTTTTTCCAATATAAATAATGAGCAGGATAAATCAAAAATAAAATAATGTGGGTAGTGGACTGTATAATAATAAGAAATATAAAATATAAATATCACAGCATTTTGTATAATAAATAAATTGAAACAAGTAACAAATTTTTGCCTGATTGGCACAACAATAATAATATAAATATAAATAAAATAATAATTAAAGGTAATGTATTGGGTACAAATAGTCAACAAATAATGCAATAAATAGTGTACAAAAAATATATATATATATGTGATATCAATGTGTGTAAATAATATATTAAGTATGTAAGAAAATAGGAACAAATGTATATGTGTATTGTGTATAAATCAATGAAAAAATGTATAATGTGCAAATAATATGTAATATTAATGTGTGTGTAAATAATATATTAATGTGGTAGATGCCTATGTCGGCCAATGCAACATAATACAATATAACAATATAATGTGCCTATGTCGGCTAATGCAAAATATAATATAAATAATGTGTCTACGACGGCTGAGGCCCGTCGGCCTTTAACACAATGAAACAAATATGGTCGACCAATACTCACATGTGATGACTGTAATTGGTGGCGGATTTTATCCCGACGCGACCGCTCCAGAACTATGACTACAATTGCCTTAGACGGCACACCACAGTGTTTAAAATTATACAAAATAAAAATGTCACAGTCTGGTACGTGCGACCACCGAATCACAATCACCAACGACTACAGCAACAAACGTAAAAAATGAAACAAAAACGTGAATTTAACGAAAACAAAAAATGAAATGAATTTTGGTGTGCACACTACGAAGACACGGAAAAGAGAGAGAGATGGGTCCGACGACATTCACCACGAAGGCTAAGGCCGCCGGACACCACAATGAAGATAAAATGCCCCAGTGCCACCACACAAAATAGAAAAACACTCGAAATTAATGAACTCTGTGGCACTGAGAGCATGATTTGAAACTTTAACAAAACATAACCGAAAAATATGAAACTATTACGCAACGGCGATACGCACGCGCTGGGCCGTCAACCCACAACAGCTGATGCCATTGCCAACAGCACTGCAGCAACGCACGATATGAACCGCTACGCAATAGAATATAATGAAAACAAAACTGACAAATGATAACATAAATTTGTGGACAAGAACCACTCGCAGCGCGAACAGTCGACATTATACTGTGATATAAATAGTGGCGGTTCGTGTTATCGTTCAGGAACACGTGCACCACCTATATTTTTTAAGAATATGAAATATTTCTCTACAGCAATAATTGTATTACGTAATATTTATGAAATGGATTAATATTCATTGACAAAAATAAAAATAATTTTGTTGACTAGGTTGATAACTAGGTGATAATTGAGAAATGACAGCTCGTAAGCAGTGGCGCATTAAATATATACGTGCCCCGGGGCAAAGTAATTTTTTCGCCCTTTCCCTTTATCAAAAAAATATATATATATAAATTCAAAGTTAAGCAATAAAAATGTTAATTTTATGAAACAAATTATAAATCAGTTGTTTTACGATATTGTATTAGATAATTTTATAGTAATACATATCCTAACGTTAACCTAATTTATTTTTTCAAAGTGTGAATATTCTTTTCTTAAAAAAAAAAATACATATATACATATATATTGAATATAGAAAACGGAATCATTTCTTTTTATATGCACAATGATTAAAAATACATGGTTTTTTATTAGATTATATATATATA